GAATTAACTGTCCACGTCCGCTGAGGAAACAACCATAAAGCATTGTTTTAAAAAGGTGTTACAGCATTTCCACTCGTTCCCCTGGGCTAAGAGCCGCCCCGGAGGACTCCCCCAGGCTCTTTCCTGTTCTGGCACACAGCACCCCCAGCGGCAAGCCCAGCAGGTGCGGAGCCTGCAGGCAGCCATGGGTGCCTTTGATCCGCTCCGAATCTGGAGGGTCCCTCACAGGTGACACCTCTACAAAGACAGACAGGACTTCCCGGCATTTTCAGAACAAAGACTCAGATTAATGTAAAACAACACCTTTCACACATGTGAGAGCCTCCAAAGGAAAAAACTATTCCCTTGACAGTAAGTAATGACAATAAATATGACAGAGTTCAGGATTAGGAAGACACAGGGCCACAATAAGAATTAAAAATTAAATAAAATTGTCTACTTCTGTGCAACTGTATAAAGAAGCCTCCTCTGAGGGGACTTGGCGCTGTGGCCTTATGGCCGGAGGGGGGGGGGGGCGAGGCGGAGAGGAGCGAAGGACAGGATGTCTTCCTCCAGGGCCCCGGGCCGGCCAGCGCCTCATCCCTCGGTTGGTGCCTTTGCGCACAAATCACCCAGACACACAGGGAGGCCCTGCGGAGACCTGTCCTCTGTATAGTGAGCGGTGCGTGCTGACGATCAGGAGACGGTTACATATTTATTATCCTTTCTCTGGGTTTATAGAATACTTCCTTCTTGAGTGAAATTACTTATGCGTGCCCCTTGCCCAGTGGTGGGAGGAAAGGCCAGGACTGTAGCTCCCAGGGCTGTGAAGGGAACTACAGATGTGTGAGTCTCATGCAGGTCCATCTAAGGGGAGTGTGGGGCGAGCAGAGGCGGGGGAGGGCCTGGCATTTAAGGAGCGGGCAGAGCCCGGAGAGATGGCTGTGCAGAGGCTGTGCAGAGACCAGAGGTGCTTGGGCAGCGGCCAGGCTGGAGCAGAGCAGAGTGCCGGCCTGGGCTCTCCACGGAGGGTGGACTGTGGGTGCAGGACACCCGAGGAGCCTTCGTGCTAATGAGAAGCCCCTGTAGAGACTGAGAAGGGGCCCCCGACCCAGACTTCAGGTCTAGGAGCTGGCGAGAGTTCTCCTGCCGGGTGACCCTCCCACTGAGCCCTGCTGCTGAGGAGGCAAGGTGACAGCCACCCAATCATCTCAGGACTGAGGGGGACAAGTGGGCCATGCCGGACAGTCCACAGACCCTGGCTGGTGGGACCACAGTTGGTAGCCTTTGAGGCCTGGGGAGCTGACCCTGTGATCAGGAAAATGAGATATTTTGGGGGCCTAGCAATCTGACTCTGTGCCTGTAACCTAATGCACATTCCTGTTAGCCTATAGTCCAGTCACTGCCCCTCCCTTAATTATCTGGTCTTGCAAGACCTGTTTACCTAAGTGCTCCCATTTTACAGAGGCCATAAATCATGAATAATACACAACCCCCGGAGGGGGTTATCAGCGCTGGAGCCAGGCCAGGCCTTTAGGTGTGGTCTCACAGCCCCCATCCCAACACACGGGGCTTTTTGCAAAGCCCACGAAAGGTCCGGAAGTCCCATCCATATTTGGGGGACAAAGAAACCAAAAGGGGATAAAGGGGGAGCTTCCTCCATATTGGTTTGCTCAGGATTTGGAGAGAAACAGTCTCCCCTGAGTCATTGTACTAGTACATGCGAAACATCTGACAGTAAATGGGTTTTTCCTGTGTCTCCAAGTACCCCTGTGTATTTTTCGGTCTCCTGGTAAATTCCATAACATCTGAGGCTCTCCCTGCTCTTCTATCCGCCCCCCTTCTCCCTCTTCCTCTCTCGCTGCTGGGCCTGTTACTGGCTCACCTCAGGGTCCAGGCTTTTAAACCTCTGGGATCCTCCTATTTCTCTCCCTGTCTCCGGCCCATTTCTGCTGGTTGCATGTTAAACTTTGCATCCATCCTGGACATCGCAGAGCCAGTGCTGAGAAGGCGCAGGTGGCTGGCTGAGGCAGGGACGAGCGAGAGGGGCCTGCCAGGCAGGATCGGCCCTCCCTCCCCTCACACTTCCTCAGGCTGCTCAGGCAGGCCTTCCCGAAAACATTCTTACTCTCATTGAAGCTGCTCTTCCTGGCAGAGTGTTTCTTTCTCTCTCTCTCTCCCTATCTATCTCTCTCACCCTTTCTTCCTTCCCTTTCTTCCTATACATTTTTATTGATTTCAGAGAGGAAGGGAGAGCCAGAGACATCAATAATGAGAAGAAACATCAGATGAGAGAGAATCATTGATCAGCTGCCTCCTGCATGCCCCCTACTGGGGATCGACTGGAAACCCAGGCATGTGCCCTTGACTGGGTTTGAACCCTGGACTTTTCTCTCGCAGGCCGACGCTCTAGCCACTGAGCCCAACGGGCCAGGGCATGGCCGAGCGTTTCCTGTGGCTCTTAGCGCCTGGGACGCACTGATTCACATCTCACCACAAGCGGCCCATCTTCCTGTGCCAGCCTCCCACTGCCCAATGCGCCCCCAGCGCCCCCTCCAGGACGTCTTGCTATTCAGCCGACCCATCTGGAGCAGGGCGGTTGGCCCGGGGCTGGCAGGTTTGTTCTCCGGGGAATCCATCCCAGGGCCCCCAGTCTACACGGAAGGCCCCACAGAGGCCAGAATGAAAACAGAGACCCCTCCCCACCCTGCCCCCAGAATCTGGGCAGCTGGGGTTACTGGCACAACCCAGGGCTCGATGGAAGGGTGAGGGGAGCAAATGGGCACGCTTTTCGCTGAGAATAGCGGAAGTAATTCCAGAAGAAATAGCTAGGGGAGGGCAAAGTGGCTGCCCCTGAGCAGGGGACTTCCCAGGCGGGGTCTCGCTGCCGGTTCCCACTTCTGACTGTGGCCTGTTCGCCACACCCTTGCTGGATGCCCTCTGCTCCCTCAGGTACCTGTCTGCGAAGGCCCCCGCCATGCCTCCTGAGTGAGGAGCTGCATTTCCGGTTTGCGATCACCTTGCTTTTCCATGTAGTTTTACCACACACACACATATTGCTTCGTTTTGCATAGTTTTGAACATTATATGATTGGAATCGCACTGCAATTCTGTTGAGAGTCGCTGTGTTGGTGCAACCCAAGAATGTTTTCTGTTGATGTGTGTGTACCTCATTCTACATATGCTATCCATCCTCCTGCCCCAAGGAAATTTTAGGGGTTTCCATTTTCTGGCTGCTATGAACATGCTACTCTGACCATGCCTGTGTATTTTTTTCCTTGGTGCACACATGAACAAACTTTCTAGAACATAAACATACATACAAACATATAAGAGTGGAATTGCTGGGGCAATGGCTACTTACACTCTCAATCTTACTGTTTAATGACGTTGTTTCCCTAACTTGCTAAGCTGGCGTTGTCAGACATTGTTATATTTCTGACAGGCTCAGTGCTGTGGCATCGTGACTCCCGTGGTTGCCTGTGCTGCCTCTGTCAGCTGTTGGTATTGCTCCCGCTGTATGGCTTGTGCTTCCACTGGGGGAAGAGTTCTTTATTTAATGTAGTCAAATGTATGACTCTCCCTCTGTGGTCATAGCTTTTTGCATCTTGTTTAAGTACTCCTTCCTTGCTCTGGCTTGGTGGATAGAGTGTCAGGGTCCCAGGTTTAATTCCAGTCAAGGGCACATGCCCGGGTTGTGTGTCCGATCCCGAATGGGGAGCGTGCAGGAGACAGCTGATTGATGATTCTTTCTCATCATTGATGTTTCTATCTCTCTCCCCCTCTCTGAAATCAATAAAAATATATTTTAAAAAAAGAAGTCCTTCCCTGACCGGAAGTTATGAATTGTCTTCTAGAAGCTTAGTGTTGTTTTTCACTAAGGAGAAAAGACGACTTGTTTAAAATATGGTGTTGGAAGAGAGCTCTATGGACACGATGGACCACCAGAAAGATGGACAAGTGGGTCTAGAGCTAATAAGCTAGAAACATTGCTGGAGGCAAAAATAGCAAAACAGAGCTGTCCTCCGTCTGGCCCATCACGAGAAGGCAGGGTTCTTTGGGAAAGACAAAAATACTGGGAAACAGAAGGAACAGATGGAAAAAAGGAAGACTAAATATTAGATGGTTTGTCTTCACAGAAGAAATCAGTGTGAGACGGATGGACTCATAGAAGCCTCCACACGCCTGCGTCTGCAGGGGCTGAGCAGGGCTGCCGCGGACGGGACACTGGACATCACTCCCTCACAGGGTTGCCGGAGTCGGAGCTGATTCAATGGCACATAATACACACACGTATATAATTTCAACACCCCTAGTGGCCATATTTTAGAAAAAACAAAAACAGATGAAATCAATTTTAATAATTTACCTAAGCCAATAGATACAAAATGCTATCTCAACATATAAGCAACATAAACATTACTGAGATATTTTACATTCTTTTTTTCATAATAAGTCTTCAAAATCTGGTATATATTTTATGCTTACAGTACATTTCAATTTGGGTGCTATTTTCATCAGAAATACTTAATGTTTAGGTTTCATAAAATTTATTGTAGAAAAGTGAGGCTCCCGTACCCTCAGGCTCTCACACGCAGCAGCTCCCCTGTAACTGCAGACCCGCCGGCTCTGGGAGCTCATGGCTCGGGGCCTGTGCTGGCTGTGTTCTTCTGAGCACGTGTGGGCTGTACCCAGGTCTACTGTGGTCACTGCTGTTGTTCTCAACAACCAGTGCAGAGATAAGCACCTAATGTATATTCACTTAATAAATAAATAAAAATCAATGCCATTCAGAACTCCGCACTCCTTAGAGTTGGATAACCTCACTGCTCTAAAGAGAATGGCGCTTTGGAGAAAGGATGGTGTCTCCCATTCTTCTCAGAGGACGAGGGGC